CTTGGGAAGATGAGAAAGTTCTGGAGAGATGGTGGTGATGTTTGCACAACCATGTAAATGTATTAATACCATGAACTGTTCAGATAAAAATGGCTAAGATGGTAAATTTTAGGTTGTGTGTTTTATAATGATGATGATGATAATGCAACCTTTCCCTCAAGTGAAAACCGAAGAAAATACTGAGCTAGGCCAGCCTTCAGCTCCCACACTTTTGTGGGATGGCAGCGTCTGCCAGCTCAGCCAATCATCCTGAACCAATGACTTGTCTACCCCTTTCCCAAAATAGGTTGGGAGGCTATTTTGGTACAATCTGTTCTCTCCTAAAACAAGATCCCAGGACACTGTTGCTGAAGTCAGGAAGCCAGCTTGCCCCAACCCCCACCAGGCCCCACATGAACCCAAGGAGAATGCCCGATGATCTTATAGAGCTGGTGGCTGTAATCCAATCCAGGCCTCACATCTGTGCTCAGGACTTTCCACAAGCTCTGAGAGTCATCCTAAGAAGAGACTGAGGCTGGAAGAAGGGGAATGACTCCTCTAAAGCCACACATTCACTGATGAAAAGCCAGCATATGAACAAGTCTGAGAAGCTTTAGCATCTGATCTGCTTTCCCCTTTCTTCTCAAATTACGGTAGACTTCTCAGCACATAGTTCTGAGACTTTTAATAAATATAGTGTGGACCCCCCCACCACAATCAAGTTACAGAACAGTCACACTTTGAAGACAATCTCTCTGGTCACCCCAAGCTCCTGGCAACCACTGATCTGTTCTATGTCCCTGTACATAGAACAATGCCATGCATTGCTTAAGACAGGCATTCTTTGTGAGAAATGCATCATTAGAGTCCATCACTATGTGAACGTCAGAGTGTAATTACACAACCTGGAAGGTACAGCCCACTGCACACTCATCACATGATCCAGCCTATTGTGTGGCAATTTGTGGATTTGCTCATTGATCATTAAGTGGCGCCTTGAGTGTGGTTTTGTCTTTCCTAAATAAGAGCACCCAGGGTGGGGACTTCCTGGTGGCATAAGAGGTTAAGTCTCAGCACTATGAAGCTATCCGCAGCCAGTTCAGCATGAGTTCGATCCCCGGCCAGGGAGGTGACCCACATGGTGCAGCAGACCTCTCCTGTCTAGCCCACTGCTCCCCTCAGCAGTGTATTTCAGTGGATCCGCCTGTTCTGCTTCCCGCTCTGTCTCTGGTGAATCCTCTCACCTCTCCACATCTCTGGCCTACATCCAAGCTCTTGTATGAATAAGTAAATAAAAATAAATCTTTTTTTTTTTTAAAAAGAGCACCCAGGGTGTAGTTTGTTCAGATTGTGTTGATTGTCAGAAACAACTGCTGTAAACATATCTTGTGTGAACATGAATGTGTATTTCACTCAGGAAAGGTAATCGGTGCTTTATAGAATAAATGATGTTGAATTTCATAAGAAACTGCCCAACTGTTTTCCACCAACAGTGAGTGGGCATTTTTGTTGCTCAGAATCCTTACCAACACCTGGCATTGTTAGCTAATTTTATTATATTATTCTTTTTTTTTTAAGATTTATTTATTTATACAAGCACTGGGTACAGTCAGAAGCGCAGGAGAGTGAGAGAATTCACCAGAGCCAGAGCAGGGAGCAGAGCAGGCAGAAGGACCGAAGTACACTGCTGAGGGGAGCAGCGGGCGGCAGGAGAGGTCTGCGCGCCATGTGGGACCCTCCTCTGGTGGCCGGGGAGCAGCCGGGGATGGAACCGGCGCTGCAGAGGCTGCGGGCAGCCTCGCAACCCAGCGCTCAACCGCTGCACCACCCAGGAGGCCCTTATATTATTCTTAACAGTACAGTTGTCCCACCTCCTTCCTTGGGGGATACATTCCAAGACCCCCCAGGGGATGCCTATAACCAAGACTAGTAGTGAGCTCTGTACCATCATACATTGCTGAAAACCATCTGGACAACAGGAGATCACACATACAATGGTGGTTCCACCGGCTGCACTGTGTTGCCTAGATGTGCAGTAAGGTTGCACCATTGAGGTTTGTGTAATGACATTATGATGTTCACATGATGACAATACCACTGACCCATGCATTTCTCCAGCATTAAATGATGCATGACTGTATATACTCTGATTTTTCCTGGACTTACATCTATGATAAAGCTTAATTTATAAATTAGGCACAGTGAGAGATTTACAACAATAGCTAATAACAAAATGGAAAATTATACTGTAATATAACTTATGTGAATATGGTCTCTCTCAAAATATCTTACTGTACACAGTTTTTTTGGACCTTGATTGACTTCAGGTAACTGAACCAAGGGAAATGAAATCCCAGATAAAGAGGGACTATTGTATGAGTTTGCTTGGGCTGTTATAACAAAATACCACAGACTGGGTGACTTAACCAAGGGAAATTTACTTCCTCACTGTTCTGGAGATTGGAAGTCTAAAATAGAGTTGGCGGGGGTGTCGGTGTCTGAGGCTTCTCTCTTTGCCTTGTAGCTGGCCGTCTTCTCCAGGGCCTTCACAGAGTCTTCCTTTCTCATGTCTGTGCCCTGATGTCCTCTTCCTATGAGGACACTAATCAGATAGGATTAGAGTTCCCCCTAAAGACCTCATTTAATTTAATCACTCCTTCAAAGGTCCTATCTTGAAATATAGTTACATTTGGCAGTAGCAGAGTTTTAAGCCTTCAACATATAAATTTGGGGGACATTAACCCATAACAGATATTCAGTGGCTTTTTGTTGTGGTCTTAATGTGTGTTCATGTGATTACTTATCATCCCTATATTTTCTTTGGTGAAGTGCTGAGATCTTTTGCCCAATTTTTTTGAGTTTTTAATATTGAAATTGTTTATAGATTTATTGAGGTACAATCAATATTCAATAAGCTGCACATATTTAAATTACACATTTTGATCATTTGAGCAGTGTGCATGGACCTGTGAAACCTCACTACAATCAGGGTAGTGGAGACATCCATCACCCCAAAGTCTTCTTGTGCATCTTTTTTTTTAAAAGATTTATTTATTTATGCATACAAGAACTGGGGTATAGGCCAGAGGTGTGGGGGGTGACAGGATTCACCAGAGACAGTGGAGAGCAGAACAGGCAGATACACTGAAACACACTGCTGAGGGGAGGAACAGGCGAGGCAAGAGAGGTCTGCTGTGCCATGTGGGTCAGCTCCCTGGCCAGCTGGGCATCGAACTTGTGCTGCTGTGGCTGGCAATAGCTTGATAGTGCTGTCTTCAACCCCTGCTCCACCAGGGAGGCCCTTTCTTGTGCATCTTTTAAAAAAGTTTTTGAGGTAACACTAGTTTATAATTATATTGCTGTCAGCCCTCTTGCCCACCCTTCTCAGCAACCTCTCCCTAGCACCCACTGACTGGCTTTCTTTTCCTACAGATTAATTTCTCTAACCTAGGATGTCATACAAATGGAATCAGGTAGTATCATTGCTTTTTATATGGCTTTTTCACCCATCAGGATGTGTTTGAGGCTCATTCATGTTTCTTGTTGGTTCCCTTTTATTTTTGTAGAGCATTACCCAATTGGATGGAAGTTCTTCATCCATCACCTTTTGATGGACATGTGTTGTTGTTTCCAGTGTGGGGTTCTTATTGCAAACCAAGCTGCAGTGAACAGCTGTGTACTTGTCATCTTGATGCACATTTGCATTTCTCTTGGGCAAATCCTAAAAGTAGGATGGCTGGTCATAAAAGTACATGTTTCACTTTTTAAGATACTACCAAACTGTCTTCCAAAGAGATCGTTCCAGTGTATAAGAGTTCTTGTTGCTCCACATTCTTCTCATCATGTAGGATGCCCAGTGTTTGAAATCTTAACCTGTCTTGCCCGCTGCTTCCCTCAGCAGTGTATTCAGTAGATCAGCCTTTTTTTTTTTTTTTTAAGATTTTTTTTTTTTTTAATTTATGTAATAGCTGGGGTACAGGCCAGAGTGCAGGAGGGTGAGAGGATTCACCAGAGACAGAGTGGGGAGCAGAACAGGCAGACAGACCAAAAGCACTGCTGAGGGGAGCAGCAGCGGACCTGCTGCTCTTGTCGGCACGACAAGAGAGGTCTGCCATGCCATGTGGGAATCTCCCTGGCCAGCCGAGAATCGAACCTGCACTGTAGAGGCTGCGGACAGCTTCACAGCGCTGTGCTCAATCCGCTGCACCACCAGGGAGGCAGATCAGCCTGTTCTGCTTCCCACTTTCTCTGGTGAATCCTCTCACCCCCCACACCTCTGCTCTTGTATGCATAAATGAATAAATCTTTACAGTATGTCTGCACTTACCTTTGCTCTCAATTGTTCTTGGAAATTGTAACTTGAAGCAAAATGATGTGTAAGGGTGAAACTAGGTCATCAGATAGTGCTTCATTCAAAGATGGCAGGAATTTGTTCTTTTTTTGTTTTCTAATCAACATTACAATGAAATGATGCTGCATGAGATGACGTTGAGGACCTGCTGTATGCCATCTGTATATTTTATATGGTAAAGTGCCCATTTAAATCCTGTGCTTATTTTGAAATTGGGTTGTTTTCCTTATGAGTTTTGAGAATTCTTTTTCTACTCTGGATTTAATTACTTTATCAGGTGTATGATTTTCAAAGATCTTTTTTCCAGACTGTGGCTTGACTCATTCTCCTAACAGGGTCTGACACAGACCCTTACTGCTGGTCCCAACCACCCATTAATCTTTCTACTGTCTCTGAAGGGCAGGGATGACCATCACCCCCTTTTTTCCAAGGAGCAAACAGAATTGAAGGGGAAGGGCCCATGCCCTGTTGGTGGCACAATGAGAATTCAAACCCAAATCTGCTTAACCCGAAGTCAACAGACCTCACTCACTGCCACCATCTTCCACTGTCACAGTCAGGGGCTGCATACACCTCATTACCCTGGAAACTCCCAGTCTCTAAGGATACAGACCCCCATTGTATACTGAGGATGAAAGAACAAGAATGAGTCAGACAAACCATCAGATTCTTTCACAACATTTATTTGTTGATTCTTAACACTGAGTCTTGCTGGACATGCAAAGGAGAAATCCAGAGGCCTTGTAGCCTCAGGACCCACCCAGCTCCCCATCAAGGCACTTTCAAAAAGCTGGGCAGCACCTGGGGTCTCACCAAACCTGTGCCGATCTGGACTCAACTGTAGACTGATATCCCAAGTACCTGTGTGCAGAGGGCAGCCCCCAGGCCACCCAGCAGGGGCCCAAACCCCACCTGAGACAGGCCATGCCTACACACCCACCCCTCCCCCAGCACCCAGTGATGCTGGTCATCCTGGTGGTCTAGGCTTCAAGGAAGGCGGCTGGGAGGGGTCCTCAGCTACTATCCCCTTCACTCACCCTGAAACAAGCTCCTAGCCCACCCAGCAGCAGCACAAGGCTTGGCACAGAGGGAGGCTTCAATGTTTGTTGATGAATGATTAGTGATGAAGGACATCAGCTCAAGGGATGCTTCTAGGGCCCATTAGGGAGCACTCAGAGCTTCTGCACCGATGGATCTTGGAACCCCTGCCTGGGTGGTGGCATTTCTTTGCTTTCTGGGCAGCCTGAATGAAGTCAAGGATTAGAACAAACCTTCCCCAACATCCAAGCTCTCAAGAGTGGCCTAGACATATTTATTAAAAGCCTTTGCAAGGTTCTCTGATCCACAAACACAAGGGATCTAAGGGCAAAGCCATTCTCAAGCACAAGGAACATCCTAAAGGGCTCCTCTTCCGAAGGCGCAGTGCTTATGAGTGTGTAAGCCTTGTTTATGTCCAGCCTCATATGGGCGCTTCCATGCAGGGGAGGCCAGGAGGGAGGTCTCCACTGTACAGATGGGAAACATGAGGCTGGGAAGAGGCAACTTGCCCAGTACACCCAGGAGTGGGAACTTTCTGGGCCTGGGAAGAAGGTCTAATCCCCGAGGAACATGGACAAAAAAAGAAATTCCAGCAGCTGCATCAGAGCAGATACTTAGGAAAATGTCCATCAAATGAAGGAGTCTCAACATGGCTTGAAATTCTTTTGGGATCAAGACGTAATTTTAAAGAGGAAATAACCAAGAGCATAACTGCCAGAGATGTTGGTTGGGCAGAGGTGATTCTCTGGCCCTCCCCTCAAAACAAAAAAGCTGGGTCTAATGGGGGGCAGGTGGAGGGAAGGGACTCCCCATTCCTAACTGTCCTTACACCCACCCATATCTCACTGATATCCCCCCCATATCAGCCCTTGGTATATGGTGGCCCCAGTTTGCAGATGGGGAATTTGAGGTCTAGAGAGGGGAGAGCTGAGCCCAGGATGCCTCCCTGCATCCTGGCTCTGAGGTTCATAGGTCCAGGTCCTCTCCAGGTACTCCAAGGGCCCCCTGGGGCCACACTCTAATCGGCCTTCTTGGTCTTCTTCTTCCTGGAGCCCTCGCTCAGCTCCTCCTTGGACTTGGCGGGTAGGGCCGAGTGCTGGGAGCCAGGCCCGCTGCCACCATGGAAGCTGCCATGGGATATTCCATGATTGTCATGATGATGGTCAGCCCCCCAGGCTGACCCAAACAGCACAGGGCAGATGTAGCCCTCCAGAACATCAAAAGGGGAGCTGTGAGAGTGAGTGGCTGTCAGGAACACCTGAGGTAATACATGGGGGAACAAGAGGGCAGGGGATACAGACACAGAGAAAGAGCAAGAGGGGGGCCAAGGCAGAAAGCAAAGTGGGGAGGGGGAGAGGGGGAGAAGGTCAGCTAAATTAAGGTCAGAGGCAGCCCAGACCCAGCCCTGGCAAAGCTCTCCGACTGCATGCACCCACGGGAGGGAGACCACCTGCCCGGATTACCTGTGACACAGCACTTTTGGTGTTGAAACCCAGACAAAGCCGGGTATATAGAGGAGCTGTGCTTGGGTTAAGAGAGTTCACTCTCTTTTGATAGCCCATGGCCCCTTCCCAGGGGACCAAGAGCAGAGTTCCCCAGCTCCATAGTAAGGGAGAAAAGGGTGCACCTGAGGACCCCTCCTGGGTAGAGTGAAGCCAACTCAAGGCCTGACCATGAATCGACACTCACCCTGGTCTAGCCTGAGTGCCCAGAGTCCCAAGTATACCATCCCCGTGTCTTACTTTTTTGCTCTCCATGTCCAGGGCATGAGGTCCTGATTCCCCAGACATCCTGCACACTCCTGCCCCTTCTCCATCTTTGCAGACTGGGCGCGCCTCCTGGGAGCCCTAAACCCACCTGCTGGACACATTCTCCTGACCCTCCTCCCATGCATGGGCCTGCCAGCAAGCTCTCCAGCCCCTCCACCATAAGGCCGTCCTTTCCTGAATACGCAGGATCTGAATCTAACTCCCTGTTTCCAGCCCGGGAGGTGCAGATCAGCTTTGTTTAGGACATGAAAGCTTACCTTGCAGGACACCATGAACATGGTGAAAATGAAGATGAGGGTGGCCTTGGACACTGGCAGCCAGCGGGTCTGCTGGAGAGTGAAGAGTATGGCGCCATACAAGCTAGCCTTGGTGGGGCTGGAGGGGACAGCTGTGGTCACCTTGGCAGGCCTCTGTACCTCTGCCCCAGACCTCTATCTCCACCACCCCTGATTAGCCCAAGTTCCCATCCCAGCTCTTCCTGAGGGTGAGATGGGAAGATGCCCACTTGGCATGGGGGCAGTGTCTCCCAAGGGAAAGGGTTAACCTGACTCAGAGAGATCTGACCTTGTCACCAGCTCTTGGGAGGTGACCTCTAAGCCCATCTTGATGTCCTGCCTCATAGGAGTGTCTCTGTTCACCTGGGGGCTTTGAGTCACACCAGACAGTAACAGTGTGATTTCGAATAGGGCTCTGGGGCCACAAGGTATCCGCTAAACCTCTGGAGGAGTTGCAGACAGAGGTCAGCCATGCAGGTCAGCTCTGTCCATGTGACCAAGACTAATAAAAAACCTGGACACTGGGGCAAGGGGAGCTTGAATGCTGGGCATTATTCAGTGCAGCCTCTCACATGGAGATGTTGGAAGACACACGCACTGTCCACACAGCTGCACTGAGAGAGATACCTGGGAGCTCACACCTGGTATCCCCTGAACCCCACCTCACACACCTTTTACTTTGCTGACTTTAATCTTTATCTTTTTCCTGCAATAAACTATAATTGTTAGTATAACAGTTTTGCCAAGTTTGGTGGGTCCTTCTAGCAAATCATTGAACCTTGAAGCTAGTCTTGGGGACAGACACCGAAACAGTGTACTCCCCAGAGCGTGGGGTTAACACACAGTTTTCCTTAGCTTTCCTTTTCTTCCTTGCATAATAGGAATCCAATATTTTAACATGTTGCAAAATACAGACTCATGACTTCTGTTCCCAATGCCCATCACTCACTGAATATATTTAGCTATGATAATTCTGCCTGATATTTCCAAAGCACTCACAGTGTCCAGGACCAGAGGGTTTATGTGTGACTTCACAGAACCCCTACCCTCAACTAATGAAGTGAAAATAGAATCTGAGAGGGGAATACAATTCTGCTTAGCAGGATGCAACTGTCTGGGTCTGCATTTTCCTGCTGGTGAACTGAAGGTGGGAATAGACTTGTTATGGGAAAGACACAAGATTACATTGAGCTGTCCAAAGTTTGAAACTAGAGCAAATTTTTATTGGCATATGAGTGACCCTTTGAATTTGTTCATATTTTAGTGATTCTAGCTTTACTTGCTGTAGATTTGGAGAAAATTATCCCCAGTCACAGTCCTCTCCCACATTCTGTGCCCAAGCCCTGTACCCCTTACTCCTAAACTACACAGAACCAAGCAGAATCATTGCTCTTTTCTGCATTGACAGTAGGAAGAGGTGTTAGCCTCTGTCCAGAAGCTCCTTTGTTGGAAAACTCCTACACAGCTTTCAATACCCAAATCAAGTGTTTCATTTCCCCATGGCTCTGCCTACCCCTTCCCCCTATGCAGAGCCATGGTCTCCTCTCTGGAGTCCCCCAGAAATGGCCTCTGACAGCTTCTGGATGGTGAAGTCAGAGGCTGAGTCCTTCAAGTTATCAGGAGTATCCAACCCAGGGTCAGGCCCAGGGGGCACCAGTACATACAGGAGGGATAGAGGGGGAGGAAGGGATACTCACAAGGACATGTGCAGGATCTCATTGACCTCTGGCTTCCACACCCCTCGGAGCAGCTGCTCAAAGTTGGACATGAGGGCAACACCAGAGCCTATGGGATAGGGTGCTTCTGAGCAAGCCAGCCACCCCTAGTTTCCCACCATTCTTGGCTGAATTCCCAAGGAAGCAGCCGTTCCATTCCTGGAGTCTTTCACAGAGGGTCATCTGAACCTGAGGTGTTGACTACTAGTTATAGGTGAGGATACTGTGGCTAAGCGTCACACAGCACATTTGGAGCAAAACCAGCACAAAGGAATTGAGGTCAGACTTCAACAGCAAGGCTTGTCTTGGACAAATCTGGGTTGTCTGCTCCTTTGCCCCTATCCATGACTCCATGCTGTGCATGAAGCTTCTAGAGCACCCACCACAACCCAACTTCTGTCTTCTTCAGGGTTCTGAGCTCTCAGAAGAGCCATCTGCCATCTGGGAGGCATGCTATCCCACAGGGCATGCTAAATGCCAGGGGAATGTGCTCTCAGACAGGTTTCCTAGAGAGAGAATCAAGAGGAGACCCTTCTGGAGATACAGGGTTAAATTTCTGGAAGAATTTTTCCCATTTATCCCAAATATATTGACTAAAGAGGCTGGACACTCACTCTAGGAGCAAACTGGTGTGCCTTATATAATTCCTGTATCAGAGGTTGCCCAAAGAGGCAGTTGGCAATACCGGGAGACACTTTGTGGTCACAACTGAGAAGGAAGTGTGCTATTGGTGGGCTGAGGCCAGGCATGCTGCCCAGCACCCTACAATTCACAGGCCAGCCTCGCATGGAGTATGATCTACCCCCACATGTCACTAGTGCTGAGAAGACCGTGGCTCAAGGGAGGATGAGTCCGGCCCTTTTCGACATTTTGGGGGCATCCACTTTGGTGGGAAGGCAGAGTGGATGAGGAATCCAAATGGCTTTTAATACCTACTCAGACTGTTTTCCCAACCTTGCTAGTACTCCATGGTATGCTCCATAACTATTACTGTTGAACTGTTTATTTTCTCCTTAATTTCAGTTTTTGCCTGATGCATTTTAGTGCTCTGTCTTGGGGCACATATGTATTTATAATTGTTATATCTTCCCAGTGAATTGGCCCCTTCACCAAGGTAACAATGCCTCTTTATTGCTTGTAACTCTTGTTTTAAAGTCTATCTTGGTTTGCCTCTTAGCACAGATGGAGGAGGGAGAAAAGGAGGCCCTCCGAATAATTAAGATGGACCTGCAGTCAAACCCAGCTGCGCCCCCTTAAATGCATGATCTTAGACAAGCTATTTTAATTCCCTCTTGGGCAAAAGGTGATAGTGCTGGGACTTCTCCTAAAGGATATTCCCAAAGATCAAATCAGTAATGATGCACCAAGGCCTCAATGCAAAACCTTCCCTGAGCTAGGAGATGTAATCGGAAGAGCATGAGCCCAGAAAGGAAGCAGAACACACCTTCATTTTCACACCCCCTCACTGATACCCTGCCTTTCTTTCCATCATGAAGGGAGGCAATTACTTCAATAGGGTTTGCATAATTTCAACATGAACAAAATTACTGGAATTTTTTCTTTTCACTTTCTTGTTGTTGCAGGTGGTTTCCAAAATATTATTTGTGCTCAATGCCACCTCAGAAAATTTTTGCAATTTAATTCAAGAGTAAGGATGCAGAAAATGACTACATCCTATCTGAAAACAAAATCCTTAATAACCATTTTAAAATACAGGCACACGGACCTCCCCGGTGGTACAGGCGGTTAAGTGCAGCGCTATAAAGCTGTCCACAGCCTCTGCAGCACAGGTTCAATTCCCGGCCAGCCAGGGAGATACCCACATGGTGAGGTAGACCTCTCCCGTCTTGCCCGCTGCTCCCCTCAGCAGCGCTTCCAGTCTGTCTGCCTGTTCTGCTCCCTGATCTGTCTCTGGTGAATCTTCTCACCCTCCCACGCCTCTGACCTATACCCCAGCTCTTGTATAAATAAATAAAATCTTTAAAAAAAAATAAAATACAGGCACACCTCAGAGATACTGCAGTTCCAGATAACTGCAATAAAGTTCCAGATCACTTGCTGTTGCACTACAGCAAGTCACAAGAAGTTTTTAGTTTTCCAATACATATAAAAGCTTTGTTGGGGCTTCCCCTGGTGGCGCAGCAGCTGAGCGCTGGGCTGTGAAGCTGCCGCAGCCTCTGCAGCACCACTTCGACCGCTGGCCGCCGGTGAGGGTCCCACATGGCGCGCAGACCTCTCCTGCCGTGCCTACTGTTCCCCTCAGCAGTGTATTTTGTCGGTCTGCCTGTTCTGTTCCCTGCTCTGGCTCTGGTGAATTCTCTCACCCTCCTGTGCTTCTGACTGTACCCAGTGCTTGTATAAATAAATAAATAAATATTAAAAAAATAAAATAAAAGCTTTGTTTACATTATACTATAGTCTAAGTATGCATTATGTCTAAAATACCTGTGTATAAGCCTTAATTTAAAAATAACGCATTGCTGGGCCTCCCAAGTGGCACAAGGAGTTAAGAATCAAGCTATGAAGCTGTCTACAGCCACTGCAACACAAGTTTTATTGCCGGCCAAGGAGCTACCCACATAGCACAGCAGACCTCTCCTGTCTTGCTCGCTGCTCCCCTCAGCGGTGTAATTCATTCATTCTGCCTGTTCTGCTCCACACTCTGTCTCTGGTGAATCCTCTCACCCCAAACACCTCTGGCCTATACCCCAGTTCTTGTATGCATAAATAAATATTTTTTAAAAATAACTCATTGATAAAATTTGTTAACCATCCTCTGGGCTTTCTCTGAGTGTAATTTTTTTTTTTTTTTCTGGAGGAGAGTCTTGTAAAAAAAATACAGCATCTGTGAAGCACAATAAAGCAAGATCAATAAAACGAGGTGTGCCTGTTATGGCTTTCTCTACTGTCTTCTATATTTTATTTTAGGTGCTTCAATATAAAAGTTTTTAAGACTTTACTACTCGATGAAAAGGCCCTGACCCACAAAGTTTAAGGACCCTGTACTTCTAAGGGTGTGATCTCCATCTCTGGAGCCATTCTGGTCTCATACCAGCAGTGCTACAGGCACCTAGTGGGTGCTGCTAAACCTCCCAGAGTGCACAGAATGGCTCCCATTGCAGAGAGTCGTCTGGCCCCAAATGTCACCAGAGCCAAAGTAAGAAAACCTGCCCTCGAGGCATTAGCTGTCATTGTTCCAACATCATCCTATTTGCCTCTGACAGTGAAATTTCTGGAAGAAACTTCCAATTTACCCTAATGGGTAGGCTGGACTTCCCTAGTGAGAAGACCTAAAGATGTGGGCTAATGGGAAGGCTGGGCACTCACAACAGTCCTGACATCTCTTCACCTACAGCAATAGTTGTGCCAACTGGGGTGCCCAGTGTACACCTCTGTGCAGGAACTCTCCACTGGGGTGACTTCCCATGTTGTCAGGGGCCTGTTTACCTTTGACCCATCCAGTGGCAATCATGACAAACCACCCGTGGTGATAATGGTGATGTGCATGATGGATGCCCACCGCAATCTTGCGGACTCTCACCACCTCCTTCATGGCCACAAAGATGAGTTTCACAGGCAGAAAGCAGACACACTTGTAAAAGAGGTCCAGGGGGCAGAAGAAAATCAAGTACCTTTGGAGAGAGAATGCCAAGCATCAGAGACAGGGGAGCCCCTGCAGGAAGTGAGGTTGTGTCCAGACCCTCCCACCCCCAAGGTACTGGGCTCAGAACAGAACTGGGTGTGGATAGCAGGAAGTCCAGGGCCACTATGGAGGCTGTGCTAGCAAGTCCTAGCTCCTCTAACTTCTCATTTCTCTGAAGGCCACGTCATCCCTGCTCCTCCATGCCCTGACCACCCAGGAAGGCTTACCAGACAGCTGAGGCCAGCAGGACACTGGAGTTGTTGCTGAAGTAGTCAATCAGGGGCTCTCCCAGGAGTAAGTCAGCCAGGATGTAACTCCCAAAGCAGTGCAGCATGGCACACAGCCAGGACGCCATGGGGTGGCGCCGGGACAGCTCAACTGCTCCTAGGAGGCAAGGTGGAGTCCCCCACTATCACCAGGGTGCCAAGGGCAGGCTTTGTTCCCATGCCTTCCTATTAGTCCATCCTAATTCGACTACCTTTGCAGAGCACCTGCTTAAAGCCTCGCAGCTCACACATTTCAGCAAGTACCAAGGCTCAGAGAGGTTGCATACCTGCCCGAGGTCAGAGAAAAGGCAGAGCTAGATCAGAGTTCTTTCCACTGTGCTCAGAGAGGTGATGGTGATGGTAATGACAATTCATTTAGCAAGCACTCCTAGGTCTCAGACATCAAGCCTAGCATTTATAGGAAGAACTCATTGATCTTCATCCATCACCACAGCCAAGTGATCTCTTTTATTATCCCCACAAGGAGACAGGGACCTGGAGAGAGGGCCACAGGCAACTGGAAAACTTTGAAGTTGCTGTCCCCCCCCACCCCCATGATGCCTGGAGGTAGTTCTTTTGCTCCCTCTCTTCCTTCCTCCATTCTTTCTTAAAAAGATCTTTTATTGTGGTAAAACACACATAAAATTTACCATTTTAATCACTTTTTAGTACACAGTTCAATTCATTAAGCACATTTGCATTGTTATACAACCATCACCACCTCCCATCTCTAGGACTCTTCATCTTGAAAACCTAAACCTCTGTCCCCACTAAACACTCACTCTCCCCCCGCCCCCAACCTCACACCTACCATCCTCCTTTCTGTCTCTATGGATTTTTTTCCTCCAGAGATCTCATAAAAGGGGAATCATACATTATTTGTCCTTTTATATCTGGCTTATCTCACTCAGCATTATGTCCTTTGGATTCACCTATGTTGTAGCCAGGGTCAGAATTTCCTTCCTTTCAAAGTTTGAATAATATTCCACCTTACGGGGCCTCCCTGGTGGCGCAAGGGGTTAAGACACAACCTGTGAAGCTGTCTGCAGCCACTGCAGCACCTGAGCGATCCCTGGCTTCCCAGTATGTTCCTCATACCAGGTCTGCCCACATGGCACAGCAGACCTCTCCTGTCTTGCTCCCTGCTCCCCTCAGCGGTGTAATTCAGTCATTCTGCCTGTTCTGCTCCACACTCTGTCTCTGGTGGGTCCTCTCACCCCCCACACCTCTGGCCTGTACCCCAGTTCTTGTATGCATAAATAAAAAGATCTTTAAAAGAAATTCCACCATATGGATGGTCAATATCTTGTTTATCCATTTATATTTGGGCTATTTCTACTTTTTGATATTGTGACTAATGTTAAGAATATAAGTATAGGGGGCCCTCATGTTGCAAGGTGTTAAGTCTCAGCACTATGAAGCTATCGCCAGCCACTGCAGCACTAGTTCAATCCCCGGCCAGGGAGGAGATGCACCTGGTGCAGCAGAAATCTCCTGTCTCACCTGCTGCTCCCCTCAGCAGTGTTTTTCTGTAGATCTGCCTGTTCTGCTCCCTATTCTGTCTCTGGTGAATCCTTTCACCCTGTCCCCCCAATCTCTGGCCTATACCTCAGATCTTGTATGCATAAATAAACAAATCTTAAAAATAAATGTAAGTGTTTAAATATCAGATCAGGTTCCTGCTTTCATTCTTTTGTGATATACTCAGAAGTGGAATTAATTGCTGGATCAAAGGATAATATTACATTTAATTTTTTGAGGCGCCTCCATACTGTTTTCCATACCAGCTGTATCACTACATTCTACCAGCAGTGCTCAAGGTTACCATTTTCTTTTTTTAGTGAGGGCCATGCTGATGGGTATGAGGTGGTACCTCATGGTGTTTTTGACTCACATTTGCTAATGACTAGCAATGTTGAGTACCTTCTCTTGTGTAGGATCCCTGGCCCTCCTTGTTCTCAGGATGTTGTCTTGGTACCCAGAGTCTTGCTTGTTAAGCTTAAGGTAGAGTCAGGGCAGAAGACCTGGTATGAGGAACATACTGGGAAGCCAGTAGCTGCTGAAAACAGCAGGTAGATGTTAGAATAGAGATAATGCTTTGACTACACACTCCACTCTATTACATCCAAACTGCCTTTGAACCAGGCTGCATTAGTGCAGCCCCTCTAGGCTTCTCATTGCTCCACAGGGACTTTGAGTAATCTTTCTGTGATTCCCCCACCACTGCCACAATTCTGTGCTTACTGGCCATTTGTGTATCTTTTTTTTTTTTTTAATTATTGAATTGTACTTTTTTTTTTTTAGATTTATTTATTTATTATTTATACAAGCACTGGGTACAGTCCGAAGCGCGGGAGGGTGAGAGAATTCACCAGAGCCAGAGCGGGGAGCAGAGCAGGCAGAAGGACCGAAGTACACTGCTGAGGGGAGCAGCGGGCGGCAGGAGAGGTCTGCGCGCCATGTGGGACCCTCCTCCGGTGGCCAGGGAGCAACCGGGGATGGAACCGGCGCTGCAGAGGCTGCGGGCAGCTTCGCAACCCAGCGCTCAACCGCTGCGCCACTGTGGAGGCCCTGTGTATCTTCTTTGTGTAACAGGGTGGTCCCCAGAAAAAGGGGAGGTTCCAAGTTCCCTGCCCCACCCAAAGGAGGGTGAAGCTCAGCAGGGATGAGAAGAAGCTGGAGAGGAAACTGGAGAAGGAAGGAAGAAGGATGGAGAGCAAAAAATGGAGACCTGGAGGAGGCACATGGGAACAGGGAGACATGTGAAGAAGCTGCCCTTGCTTCTTGGTCCTGGACTGGTTGACAGAGATGTGGGTGAGATACCTGTGGGGAGGTTAACAATGGCAGCTTTTATCTTGATTATGATTTTGCTCTTTTCCTCCCAGACTTGTCTGACTGCTTCTGAACCTTTTCTATGGGTCTCCACTGGAAGGTGCTTTAGACTTGTGGCAGGGTTTTGGGCCTTACTTTGGGCCAGTCCTGTTTGGCTGGACATTTACCCAGGGGATGGGTAACTTTGGGTGCTTGATTTGGAAACTATATTGTTTGGCTTGTCTGCATTGCACACTGATTTTACTAAAGTTCCTTTCCATTAAAGGTCTATATGTTTTGTCTTGATGAGGCGGATGGCGGAACCTATTCAGAGCAGGCAAGTTGGGAGTTCTGGGGTGTCCCTCTCCCTGCCCTGTAACATTTGTAGTGGTGTCCATTCAATTCCTTTGCCCACTAAAAGTGGGAGGTTGTATTTTTGCTGCTGTGTTGTGCTCCCTTCCTTGTACAGACATTATTTGTTGGCTGGGAAAAGGGATTTGCTTGGCCCCAGATGGGACTTGGAGGGAGCTTCAAAGCCCTGTCCTACTGTGGGGAGTGATGCCATTAGGGCAGAAGGGAAACACCGGGTATTGGTACCAACAGGGAAATCACAGGGTATGCACAAGTGTGTGGACGGTGTGAAGAAGGAATGATGAACAAAGCCAAATAGGTGAGTCCTCAAAGGTAGAATTATATGAAAAGAGTGAGGCAGGAGACAGGGAATTCCAAGCTGGTGGCATGGAAGGACTAAAGATGCAAAAGCAGAATCAGCCCAGCACAAATGTCACCTCCTCCAGGAAGGCTTTTTTGCTCTTTCAGTTAGTCACTGAGTTAGTCTCATCACCCTGTGGACTCCCCTCTAAAAGAGGTCTTGGCATTTTATCCAGTTTTTAACACTGTCTAATAGAAAGCAGACTAGCGATTTCTTAGAGCTGAGGGAATGGAAGAGACTGGAATGTGAACAGGTAAAGTTACAGGCTTCTTTTGGAGGCAATATTAGTACAATTCTGTGTAGAACCTAAAAACCAATGAATGGTACAAATACTTAGGAAGGGTACGTCAGATGGTATGTGAATTATATCTCAAATATATACTGTAAAATATAAAAGGATTACAAAGAGAAGTAACTGATTTCACAGTTTCTACAACAGAAGATACACTCATAAATTATACCAAATTGAGTCTTATAAACACAAGGCAACTAAATATGAAAGACTGTGTGATGAAAAGGTACAGAGAGCCCATCCCCCAAATGATGCCAGGTACATTGGCCTTCAACTCCTGGCACCTGCACCCTACCCCAGAGCTACTCATCTGGTAGGTCTGGGGCTTGTGGATTTTTTTTTAAAGATTTAGTTATTTATACAAGAACCGAGGTACAGGCCAGATGTGCGGGAGGGTGAGAGGATTCACCAGAGACAGAGTGGAGAGCAGAACAGGCAGACTGACTGAAATACACTGCTGAGGGGAGCAGCAGGCGAGACAGGAAAGGTCTGCTGTGCCATGTGGGATTCTTGCTGGCTGGCCAGGATCAAACCGGCACTGCAGAGGCTGCGGACAGCTTCACAGCGAGGCACTCAACCACCTGTGCCACCAGGGAGACCCCTGGACTTGTGGATCTTTTAATGCTCCTGGGTGCATTACTATGAAACAAGTTGAATACCATGAAGACATAGAGGACTGAGACAGCTGGTGTCCCAGTGTTCCACAACCCTGATAACCAAGGTCTTCTATCCATGTCTAGGAAGATATGCTCCCAAGAGCAATGGTTTGTAAACAGTGTTCCTAGGAAACTTTAGAGTTCACGGGAGAAAAGAAGAGACCAAGTAGTATGTTCTGGGTCTTCTACTCATTTCAACCATAGTGCCTGCATTTACTGCTTCATCTCAGAATTCAGCACAAGATTTTGTTTGAACAGGAAATCTGATATTCACACAGATATGCATACATGTAAATTTCATAGCAGTTTGATTTGTAAGCAACCCAAATGGCTTCAATGTGTGAACAGAAAAAGTGTAGTATAGCCATCCCATGGAATACTATGCAGCAAGGAAAAGAATAAACTAGCGATACAGTCATGTACTGTATGATGTTTTGCTTGATGATGGACCACATAATATGACAGTAGTCCCAATAGGTTGCACCAGCTAGTCTAGCTACATAGTAGGCTGTACCACATAGGTTTGTGTAATCATACACTATAATCACACAATGACAAATGCCCTAACAATGGATTTCTCACAACTAATCCTTATTATTCAGTAATGCATGCCTGCATATACTTTTTCACTATACATACATACCTAT